TTGATTCGAGTTTGCTTGCGTCTTGTTAGTCGCGGAGCTCTGAGCCTTCAAAGTAGAAAGCAATTTGGATACTTCGGCACACAAAATCAAATTAACCTCAAAACACTATGTTTACGAAACTGAGACAATTCACACTAATAATTATATACGGTCACTGTCAGTTCGTAATTTCATTACGTTGATACTTAAATAATGAGAATACTTACGTGTTAATCAATATAAATCCGTTCTTTGTTCTTGATCACTTTTCTAGAAGGACCGACTACAAAGAGAATGTATGTGCCTATGCCCGTGGCTATGCATTATGTATTTTTATGTAGATTGAAAATCCAGAAGCCATGGGCAGAATACAGAAACCATAGCGCATGCGCTATGATATCTGCCATTCTGCTATAGGCAGATAAAGTAATACCACAGCGCATGCGCTATGGCTTCTGCATTCTGCCTATGGCTCCTGTAATTTTATGTGCTTCCACCTTTATGCTTACGCATTATGCGTTGTGCAGAAGTGTGTGCTCCCCGCTTTACGATAGATGTAGTTGTAGCCTTAAATAACTATGAATGCCGGCCGTAATAGGCTCCCTGTATTCTAGGGATATTAATTTGAACCAATGAAAAGAGGTCTAAAAGATGGACTCGTGGTCTCATCACGTGATCCGATTTAGTTTGCTACTTCGCAGTTCAGACATTATAGCGCTGAAAATTGTCCTCTTCTTTTCAGAAGGTTGTCCTTCTATAGAAATACAGAGAAGAGAGAAGCCACGAAGCCCACGAAATTTTCTGATGCAATCCTTTTGGAGCAGCGTGCGGCAGTAAAAGTTGAAGTTATTTCGTTCAATTTTTCTCGTATGCTTTATGTCGCTTAAGTTTATAGTAAGCAAAAAGTTTTCTTCCTTCAAAACGAAGACTCTTTACAATCAGAAAAATGACGGAAGAAGATTCGGTACGTAAGATACAGTTTGTGAGTTACTCGAGTCGAATGTGAACTTATGAAATCGGCATGCTATGCTGTTCTACTTTAATTTTTTCTGTCGAAACAAATTTCGGGTTTTGCTTCTTTTCGTTAATTGCGAGGGATTATTATCAAAGCATAACGATATTTAGAAAGCAAAAGAAATAATTCCAACCTCAAAAATCTTACTTGTTTGAAATGTTTTATTGTTAATATTTTTTTCAATTGTTGTAAAAAAATTGTTATAACAAGGGGATTAAAAGCTATTTACACGATATATTCTTATATATTGTTATTAATATTTTTTTACGATATTTATATTTACATCACATTATACCAAATGATGGCCTGTTTTAACTCCTTCTATTCATAAAAAATTGCTAGGTATTTGATCCAACCCTGAAAAAGAAAAAGAAGAAAAAGAAGACTACCTTCGATATTGATGCAGCTTTCAATGAAGGAGGTAGCGGTGGAGACGCATCTGAAAGCATTATCGACAAAGAGAATCAGGAACCAGAGCCAACAGTTGTGGAGGATGATGAGGCACTGGATTTAGAAAACTTTGGTAAAAAGAAGAAAAAAAAGAAAAAGGCATTTAACTTAGATGAATTAGAGGCAGCTTTGCCTGATACGAAGAAGGAGGTAAAAAAATTTTGTAAAGCTTTTTATACTGGATATTTTTAATAAATTTACAGTTTTTTATTTATTATTATTATTTATCATTAACTATTCAATTTTTATTTTGTTCTTGTATTTCTTTTAATAAATGCTTTGATAAACTTAACCCTTAATATGCATACGTGGGTCTACAATGTCCAAAATAATATCTGCTTGTAACTGTTAAACTTGCAAGTCTGTCAGAAAATATTAAATAAACGATGTTTATCAAAATGACTATAAAATCCTCAACTACATTGTAGCAGATGTTTTATGAATTTTTACAGATTTTTTAAATATATTTTACAGTAGGGAAAAATAGCATTAAATGTGACAAATCCACATATGCACTTAGAAGGTAGGGGAAAGGAGGTATGTACATTAAGGGTTAAAAAAAGTTAATTATATCCAGTCATGAATATATTGTATAAATAATTTAGAAGTTAATTTTACTTTGTTATTAATGTCATTTTTTAAATAATCTAGAAATTCATAAAGTAAGTTTTGTTAACGTATAAGCAATAATATTTAATTGGAGTATATCTTGAATTTTTGGGAATTTTGTTCGTTTCACAGGAGCCTGTAGAGCAACAGGTAGAGGAAATTGTGGTGGATGATGATTTTGATTTAGATATGGACTTCTCGAAGACAAAGAAAAAGAAAAAAAAGAAGAAGGATCTTGATGAATTGGTAGCTGAAGAAGAGCGCAAAGAGATTGAAGACAAGGAGAATGGTATGTATCAATAAGAAATGATTTTTGCCAATATGTTTTTGCATCTAGTTGTTTATGTTATTCATTATTTGTTAACATGCTGCACTGAATCTGAGCGAAGTGCAGAGTATGGTAAGACATATGCTTGGTGTACTCTAATTACGTCAACCATGCACTCATTTAGCCTCAATTATCCTTGCACTTATATATTTCGTGATAAAAATAATATTGGAACATCTTTAACATCTTATCAGTTCTATAGTCTAAACAGTTAAATTTTATTTTTAAAGATATAATTTATGTATTTATTCTGATATGTGCATAATGCAACTAAAATTTTATTGTGCACTATAGATGCACTATGGTGGAGGATATACATTTAATAAATATAAGTTTTATTTTTAATAATATTAATTAGGACTGTAATAACTGTTCAACTGTAATAAGAAATTTGAAGAAATATATTTTTTTAAATTTGATTACATTTTGATTTTTTAAAGTAAATACATGAATTAAATTTGAGTATGTGTGTGACTAATATTTGTGATTGAATGCTTTTTCAGTATTCTTTATACATACATTAGATATAAATAAATAGAAAAACAAAAGAATTGTATAATAAATAAAAGGATGAAGTACAAATAATAATAATAAAGTAAAATTATATGTATAATTTAAAGATTCATAAACTGAAAAATCCATAATAATTTTTATATGAAGTAAAAAAATAATATGATTTACATTTTGCATTAATCTGAAACAATTTATTTGTATAAAAATATAAATTATTACATGAAGAAAATGTACATGTAATATATTCTATAAACATCCATGAAAAAAAGTGACATGCAAAAATTTCCAGGAATTTTTATATATTATTTAAAACAATGAAGATTTAGGATATATACATTAGATGCATCTTATATATATCGCTTATATCGTTTTCTCCATAATTACAAAACTTTTCGATTAACATTAAGACTCTTGAACATAATCATATTGAACTTAATTGTAAAGTTAGAAACTTGATGAATTTTTTTTATACATAAAAATGAGTTTGTTTTTTGCATGTTATGTTTGATGAACCATAGTGAGACATAAACATATACCAATATAATTTTTTAATTGTTGTTTATTAATACATGAGTCCTATAAATATAATTCAACCTATAAATCTTATATTTCTAGTAAAAAATAGGCTTTACTTTATAGTTTAGAATTGTTAATTAAAATACAAATTGTGGAAAAAGAACTTTCGTAACATTTCATAAGTCTATTCTATTAACTATAAATGATAAATTTAAAATTTATATATTTAATTTATTTTTATGTTTAATGTAAGAAGTGTGTAAACAAGTTATATAATTTTTTACTTCTTACTCATTCAATATGACTATAATAAGGAATGAGAAGCCTTAGAATAATTTTCAGATTGATTTTTAATATGATTTAGGAAAAGTATATAATGTAGAGTAATAATCTTGTACATATAGGTATTATATTTAAACAATACAACACATATGTCTCTATATCTTCATTAAATATTAGATCATACTATATGTTGTATATTTATTAATTAAATTTAACAATTTTTAAATTGTTAATTTGACAACATTGTATTACATATTGCTCTTATTTGCATTTGCCTGTTGAGTTGCAATAATTTTACATGTACGAATTAATGAAATGTATGTCATGATTTAAAATTAATAGAAATATGTTTATTTTTTTCTTTAGTGGAGGAACCAAGTTTGTGGGTAGGCTCGGATAGAGACTATACATATGACGAATTACTAGTTAGAGTGTTTAATATCATGCGAGAAAAGAATCCCGACATGGTAGCTGGTAAGAAACAAAAGTTCGTTATGCGTCCGCCACAAGTAGTACGCATTGGAACAAAGAAAACATCTTTTGCTAACTTTACCGAGGTATGCATTATAACAAGAATCATAGTAGTTATGTATGCCAATAGCTTGCGAAGAAATTATCTATAATTTACAGATAAAAGTAAATTTATGACACAGATCATTTATAAATGAATGTGTATAATCTTTCAATCAATTTTCTATCATAGATAAACTATTACTGCACAATAAATTTTTTTTTATTAAAGGAGTAGATGTGATTTGAGTCATTATGAATTACATAAATAATTACATTTATTTACTATATTATATAATATTCTTTAACAATACTTTCAATAAATATTAGTTAAATATTTTGCAGTATATACACGGTAGGTGGTAATTTGTGGTACCACCGAGAACATGGTAATTCCTCATGCCAAAATAAGTTGAAATTGTAGAATAATTTTTTTTGTACGAGGCTTTGTTTTCGAAATAAATGACTTTGAAAATCTATGAAGTACACGTGCACTTTATTATATCTCGATTAACGGATCTTGCTATTTCTGTTCGTGTTTTTGTTTGGAGACATCGGTAATAATAAATCTTTTAATTTCTTACTTTATATTTAAGAAATTGTTGAAACTGTTAGTCTCCCTGTTGAATACAAAGCTGCGTTCTTTTAATCACAGATTGATGAATTTTTGTTAAAGTAGGTTGAGCTTTTAATTTTTGAAATGCTGCTACAATTTGTTCTCTTACGTGAGTAACATTTTGAATATTTGTGGCATAAACTAAACTTTTTACATGACCCCATAAATCAAAATCGAGTGTAGTGAGGTTCGATGATCTTGGTGGCCAAGATACTATTCCGCGGTTAATTCAACATTCGTGTTGTTGATTTAATAAATCTCGAACAGAAATAGCAGATCCGTTAGTCGAGATAAAGTCAAGTGCACGTGTACTATAATCAGAGATTTTCAAAGTCGTTTATTTCGAAAACAAAGCTTTGTACGAAAAAACATTATTCTACAATTTCGACTTATTTTGATACCAGGAATCACTTTGTTCTCGGTTGTGCTGCGTATTACCGTCCATCCTGTATATTAGTGTATATAAAGAGCAAAAGACAAATTATCCTATATACTACTAATTTTTTATTTAGAATAATTTGTATTTGAAATATGTCTATTTTACAGATTTGTAAAACATTGCACAGACAGCCGAAACATTTGCTAGACTTTTTGCTGGCGGAGTTGGGTACAAGCGGCTCGGTTGACGGCAACAGCCAATTAATTATTAAAGGCCGCTTCCAACAGAAACAAATAGAAAACGTTCTTAGAAGATATATCAAAGAATATGTCACGTGTCACACGTGTCGCTCACCCGACACTATCCTTCAAAAGGACACTCGACTCTTTTTTTTACAATGTGAAACCTGTGGTTCGAGATGTTCTGTTGCCAGCATAAAATCTGGATTCCAGGCAAGTTCTTTAGAAATAATATACTTTAATATAAAATATATCGTGATACATGTGTATATATGTTGTACACACATCCATACATAACAAATATATATGTATTATATATTTTTTCTTTATGTTCCTCATTGACGAGGCTCATAATATCTTTATAAGAGATGATCTTGAGAGTGCAGTTACAGTGCTCATACATTTATCTAGTATTTTAGATTCATTGCCATTTGCAATTCACCGTATCATAATTATATGTGTGTGTGCGTGTGCGTGTGCGTGCGTGCGTGCGTGCGTGTGTGCGTGTGTGCGTGTGTGCGTGTGTGTGCGTGCGTGCGTGCGTGCGCGCGCGCGCGCGCGCGCGCGCGTGTGTGTGTGTGTGTGTGTGTGTGTGTGTGTGTGTGTGTGTGTGTGTGTGTGTGTGTGTGTGTGTGTGTGTGTGTGTGTGTACACATGTTGACAAAACCAAGAATCAAACTCGGTTTCTTTTTGTTGAGCGAGCAACTTCTCTAGTATAGAGGTATTTTGCATATATACATATATTTATGTCATGTATATGTGTGTATACATATACAGGGTGAGTTTTATTTCATGTGTCGATTATCTCAGAAAGTATTGGTTTATTAGAAAAATGTTTTAGATAAAGTTAGAAGGTTCAGAAGTGCCAATAAACGTTCTTATTAGATTTATGGATCCAACACTGGCTCCAAAATCTAATAAGATCGTTTTTTGGCTCCCTCTGAACTCTAACTTTTATAAAAAACATTTGTCCAATAAACCAATACTTTCTGAGATAATTGGCGAAGATAATTGGCACACGAACTAAATCACCCTATACCGAGCCCTATACAGAGCATAACAAAAAGGTTGTCTGCTACTTTAAGGATAAATAATACACATCAAAATAATGAAAAAAGTTCCTATCAACATAGATCCGCAAATGATCTCCTACCGAGTTATGGGCATTACAATTTTTAAGCTTAACCCTCAGGGTACGAACTATAAAAAAGTTACGTTCTGTACGGACATGGATTAGCCTAACCCGGCGATTTTGATTGACTGTACATTGGGCTGTAATTTGTCAATTGAAACAAATTTTTTTTCTTTGGATCGGAAATTTTCTCAAAAATACAATGGCGTTGATAGATTTATTACATTATTTGTTTAAACGAAGATATATTTGAAAATGTAAACCGTTCTCAAAAAATTTTCATAAAAATTCATTTTTTCTTTTAAATTTCATAACTTTATGAAAAAAAAGATATCGACATTTTTTAAGTCGCGTTTGAAAGCTAAAAAGTTGTTCTTTGAAATGGCTGAATTTGTTTTTTGATCCATTCCAAAAAGTATTTTTTTTTTTTGAACTATGAAAATACCCGTTTTTTGCGATATAGCGATATAACGTTACTTGCTTGATTTATTGTAATAACGCAAAAAAAAATATCTTAAAGTAAAAATAGTTCTTTTGGATGTTGTTGATTAGTATAATATAAATAAATAACAAAAATTGAAATAACATTAACATGCATGCACGGATACGTTATGCTGATATGCTACAGAGCATTATTTTGAGGTTAGAATGCACAAAAGTATATTAAAAATAGTAAATTATACATACCAGAAAAAAAAACCTGCAGCAAATACTCGAAAAACAATTTTTTTTTTTAAACACGGATTTTGTAACATTCCGTACGGACTGGGTGTAGACTACCCGAGTTCAATTTTCAAAATCGTATAACTTGAGCGCCAAGCGTAGACTAGCGCTGCCCCTTGGCGCTCACATAGTAGCTACCTCAAAGATTCCCCCCCGCCGGTACGGACCCCCACCATTCACTTCCTTTGAAATGGCGCTACTTTCAAAATTCGCTCGGGTTACGCTAACCCAGTCCGTACCCTGAGGGTTAAATTCAGTTTATTAACGAACAGAGTACATTTTAAGTTGTCAAAATACGTACAAAAATTAAAGAAGATGGCATTCTTGCATGAACAACACATTGTTCGGTTTGGTATCAACGTGTACAGTGGACCAACCAGGGGCTCAATTCTATACACGCTTACCGAAAACTATCAGTTCGATAAGCGTCGTTGCGCAGTTTTTATACAATATGAAAAACCTGCGCGACGACGCTTATCGAACTGATAGTTGTCGGTAAACGTGTACAGAATATGGGCGTACCAACATGGATGTGCAGAAATACATAATATGTTGGTATCTTTGAACGTGTTAGGGCGAACGTGAGGAGATGAACCGAATAATGTATTGTCATGCAAGAGAGGATGTCACTTTGAACATTTTCAAGTTTTTTATGTATTTTGACTTAAAACGTATTTTGTTCGTTTAATAAACCGAATTTAAACTCAAAAGTTGTAATGCCCACAACTTAGTAGGAGATCATTTGCGGATCTATGTTAATACGAACTTTTTTCATTATTTTGATGTGTATTCATCCTTAAAGTAGCGGACAACCTTTTTGTTACACCGTGTATATATGTATGTATGTGTACATTAATATGTACCTATACATATATATACATAACACATGCGTATATTTAGCACATACTTTAAATTTAGATAGTATAAGTTATAATCTAAAATAATTCTATATATATATATATATATATATATATATATATATATATATATATTCTCTATACATCAAATATAATGTTTTAAACAATTTTTTTATATCCATTTCAGGCTGTCACAGGAAAACGTGCTGCTATTCGTGCGAAAACTGCCTAAGCAATTCTCTATCTAAGAAGATGCTAGTGCGAATAAAATCTTATGGAATATAAATAAATAAACGGTACAAGTGATTGCATCTCGAATTGACTTGAATACAGAAGTGTAGATAGTATTAGTTCGGACTGTCATAAATTTAATATCGATTCTAATGTAAAGAGAAATTAAAAGATGGCTGATTCATTAACATCCTAATAATCTTAAGTGCTAAAATCTTGTCGTTCTATGAATTGTAGTGTTCTGGATTTTTGATTCTTGGATGTTTTTAATCCTAACTTCTTTGATTTTGAAAACATTTTTTTATTGTTAGCATTTTTTCCAATTAAAAGTAAAAAAATTTTAATCTTAAAATGAATAAATTTCAGGCTCAAATTCCTCAATCTACTTTAAATCATTTAAGCCATCGGGTCTTCTATATATAAATTTTTTTTATTTTAGAATGCAGAAAAATCACAACTCCTTAAAATTTTATGTCTCATATTCATTATCATAATTAAATATGAAGAAAAAATATCAACAATTAAAATATCTAAGTTATTTAATATTTTCTATTTCTACTTTTTTCGTTAATCAACGTTAACTTAATATGTTAATAAAAACAATGAAATATGCATGATATTATTTTCATGTTTATCTAGATGTATAAAAACATTTTGTTCAGATGTATGAAGAATACCCGATTGTTGTTAACGGTAGAGTTAAGGCTCCTGCACAATAAAAAATATAAGAAACAAGAAACAGATATTAGCGATTAGAAATAAGAAATTAGGAATAAAGCTGGTGCAGCATTAATACATGACTTCCGATAGGTTAAAAATCTATTGCCTGTGTTATTCCGTTTCTGTTACCTGTATTTTTCATCATGCATCAAACTTTATTCTTGATTCTTTAGTCCTAATCACTAATATTTGTTTCTTGTTCTTTATATTTTTCATTGTGCGGAGGTCTTTAAGCAATAATGTATTATATATTTTCTTGTATATACAATAATCAAGTCCAGAACAAGCTTTTGCAAAATTAATCATAAATTTGCAAATTATACAATTTTGAAAATCTTTAAGACATTTTTGACAAGACAGCTTTTCTCTTCAAATAATAATTTATTTAATTATATTTACTGGACAATATATATATAAAGTCTCGGACCTTTTCGTATGTTTCTTCAAATTCTCTCAAAGAATTTGATAAAAGATCCTTTAACAAATATGTATAATATAAATACAATAAAGAGCTAACCAATATATAGGAAAACATTTTTTATTTAAGATATTCGACATTTCTTTGGACAATTTGGACACATTGCGAGTTTAAATATAAAAATTATTATTTAATTTACAGGAGGTACACAAAGTCGGTCACATTACAAGATTACAAAGTATAAATATTTACTTGATCTATATGTTTATATAGAATTAAAAAAATAAACATACTTCATGTTTTGTTTGCAATACATTTCTTTAGAAATTTCAAAAATTAAGTAATAAAAATTTTAAACTTCTGTCATAAATCGAAAACGATAGACTTTTGTGATTATTTTGACTACATTTATTACTTACTGACTTTATTATTTTAATTTAGTGTTATATTACACATAATATGACCAAAAATCTTAATTACAGGTGCGTTTCGAAACGTACTGTATTAAAATCTGTAATTTATATTACAAAATATGCTACAAAATTTTCAGCACATTTAGGAATGTATCATATCTGTACAGTGCAATATTTATATATTTTATAATCTAACAACATAATACATATAATCATATTACAAATGATATAGTATAGTATTATTCATTAACTAATATTATATTATGCATTATGTATGTTTATATGTTTTATCTCTAGTTACAGCGTTTGCAGAATTGGTGCAATATCGTAACCAAATAGTTTTAAGAGAGTTAGGTAAACTTTAGGTATCCATTGTAGGAGATTGTTACAGCTGAAAAAGATGAAAGTGCAGATATAATCATAACATTATTGTTACATTGCAGAAGCATATCAGAATTGAATAAATCATCTATCTGAATTTTTTATTTAGTACAGTCCAGAAGCTTGGATTTTAAATGTACAGATAGCTCTATTTTTTTAAAATAAAGTTTTTATTAATTATATAACTTACAAGATACGAATTTCAAATTTTACAATGCTGTAAATGCCTTTGATATTTTTATAAAATGTTTGTTTTGTAACTTGGTACTTTCCACGAGTTGCAATTCTTGCCATTATCCTATATCGATTGATAATATCTCCGTGATCCTTAATAATGGCACGCACCATATTCAAGTTTCTAATAAGAAAAATAAGTTTGAAATTAAATATAACGAGGGCGAAAGAATTGATTATGACTACATTATTTTACCTAATTACTAGCATCATACTCTTAGGCATTGCTTTCAATGCAGCCGTTATTTTATCAAATCGCTCCTGCGCTCGTTTTTTCATATACTCATCCAGTGTATTGTTTGAATATGACGTAAAGGAAACTGTATACGGTGCCTGAGTTAACATTTCTGCTAGCAATATGTAATCTGAAATAATACATTAAGGGGATGCTGGAGCCGTCTGTTTTACCGGCATTTTTTGTCGGCACGTAGCGTCGTATTAATTTGACAGAATTAAAAATCCTTCTCCAGAATTGCAGTACATACATTAATGATTCGGGGAAACTCCGATTTTATATAGAAAACGAGAAAAAATTACGGAAGTACAGATTTCCTTATCCTACTCTTATCCCAATATGGCGTCTCGAGTTGCGGCGAGCTGTCAGCTCGTCACAAGATGTATTTCATATAAGAGATATACCATTGGTACGAACGCGAAAACAAGTTTCCCCGAATTGCACAACAAGAAAAACATCTTTAAACCCTCCAAATCAAGATTTGGAAGCGTAATATAAAAGTATAATGTCGGTGTGCATCGTGCGTATGTGTGCGTGCAATGTAGCGTGCTATCCTTGTCTATATCTTTGTCTATACAAGGACAGATAT